CCCATGGAGCCCATTTGTATGAAACTGACTGTAGAGACTTTGGCTCCATGGCGATTAAACTGTATTCGTGTGGTCTGAGCGCCATTCACTTAATAATGTGCGCTCAGACCTGAGCTATCTGGGGATATGTTACATGTCTGTGTTTTATGTAATAAATGTGACTTTATGTATTTTAAAGTGTTTTGTGTCTTTTTGCAACCATGTGCTTAATGGAGTCTTATGTCTGTCCTGGGAGATAATTGAATTACTCTCCAGGATAGAAGACTCTGAAACTGGTTTGGGCCAGAAAGCCATGCTTCATTTAGTCACAAAGGACTCTCCCTTAACTTTTGAACCCCTGGTCTGATTCGTGCCATTTTTTAATATGTTGTTCCCCTGAATGGATTGATTGTGAATATGTAATTTTATGTGAATGTGATGTATGGTTTTAGAGTTATGAAAGTTGGGTAGAAAGTATGTTTTTAACTGTATGTGTAATTGAGTTTCCTCTCAGGATAAGGGGAGGGAATATGTGGGATGTAACTGTGATGTGATTGGTTGTTTTGTAACGCCCTGTGGGCTGTACTATGTTTGTGGATTGGGAATAAAAGAGACTGTATGTGACAGTACAGGGAGTTCCTGTTTAACCCTCAAAGTGAAGTGTTGTCTCATTATTGGGGGAAGGATTTATTGTATGCTGTTCCAGTTTGACTGCTAGGAGGGTAAACCTATTCGTATGGTTCCTATTCAACTGTCTACAGCATTCATATGCTTGAGAGAAGGTATACGCTTCTCTGGTTCGGTGATTGTGGTGTCTGCTGCAGTGCTTGGAGTCCTCAGGAAGCGCTAGGAGCATCCTTCAACAGAGGTACCCAGTCAGGGTGCCAGGCGATCCGTTACATCCAACTTCCCATAACACTGCCAAAACAGCCGACCTATGCTCTGCAGGATTTACTGAAGATGTCATAGATACTCTCCAGTGTCCCCACCGAATGGTAGTGAGCACAGACAAAGGTGACGTCATCATTGTAGATCAAGCATTTGACATCCTTTCCTTGTCTGCCAGTTGCAGTAAGAACTCTATTCTCAATATTCTTTCTGATGCACTTGATGAACAGCTCTTATCAACAAACAAACAAAATAAGTCAAAGAGAGCAGCTTTGCTTGACCTCAGTATTAGAACTGTACTATAGATGTGGTGACACACCATGCTTGCATCAGGCACCCAAGTCTGCAAACAGTTGTGCTCTTAACCCTTAATACACATAATCAGAGGTAATCCCCTGGTCCAAGCAAATCAGTGCAGCCAGGATCTGGTGATCTGTAATAAAACAGATTGTGCCTCTCATGAGGGTTACATTCTCAGAGTTGTTACAGATCAGATTAGTTTTAACAAACTACCCAATGACTACCTTTAGCCTGGTTACTACAACTCTTGCAAGGATCTTGTAGTCCACAATAAGAGGGGACAGGTTGACAGTTTATTACAGTCTTAATAAACCTTATTATTTGTACAGCTCATATGGGACAGGGAATGCAGAATCTGAATGCAGAT